GGGGAGCGCCAAGCGCGGGGCGCAGCGAACCCCGCGGGTGCGAATGAACCTTGGTCGTCGCGGCTAACCCCTCTTTTGTCCCAGCTTGTGGCATGGTTGCTAACACCCGACTGGTCGCGAATAAAGCAGCACGGTACGTACACGTCTGTACCGTGTAAGTTGAGCGCCATCTAGAATTTCACCTCTACCAGGAGCGCAGAAGTGGGTTACTGTGGTGATGAGGCCGTCAGAAACGTTACTGATTACCTTTAGCGACGTCTACTTCTGTCACGGTATATCTTGGTGGAGTGAGTTCAGGGCGAGGAACGAGCTCTGAACTAGACTTTAGAAACCCTTAAGCGCTTTCCCGGTCCCTTCTCCTTTCCGCTGCCTCGTCGCTCGCAGGCGAAATCTTGTATCCACCCGCCCAGCCCTTGTTGCCTTAGCGTCCGCCGCAGTCGGGTTGTCGTTCCCGATTCGTCGCATGCTCGAAGGCCCGCCGCTGCTGGTTCCTGCCCGGCCTCGTCCGCCGGAGCAGGCCCCTATCAGCAGCGCGAGCGCCGTCTTCCCCCCACAGACACGACACGGGATTCAGCCTGAGTTCAGTCCTGACTCACAGGCATCTCCCGCTCGCTTGGCTTGCGGAGCGTAGCCGCACTCACTAGACACACCTTCGATCGCAAAACGCCCGCGCATTCTGGAGCAAGCAAGAGATCAATATTATGGAGGAATGCATTATCACTAATTTGCTCCTCTAATAAGCATCCAGTGTCGGGACGGTCAAGTATGCTACGAAGAAATGCATGCAAGTGTCACGTGTGTTTCATCAAATCTCTCCACTCCACCTCGGCGCATAAAGCGACCAGAAGTCATTATCTGAGTCAGATTGAAGCTGGCTAGTCGACCCAAACAAACTGCTGTGATGCACAGGTTCGATAGGGTAGAGAGTTCGTACGACGTCCGCAGGGAGAGCCTGTTCGAAGTCGATACGTGCAACGAGACTGTCGAGGATCTGCAACGATTGTGGAAGGTCTATGTCGACGAGATGTCGTATTCCCGAGAGAGTCAGCAAATCGAGTCGTCGTCCTGGAGGTTGTACGCGAACGCGATCGCGAATGAAGTCGACAAGGTCCGTCAACGCAACTGAACAGCTCGAGTCTGGGTCTAGCGTTAGGATCGGGGATACCGCGCCGTACACTGGATGATGCGAGTATTTGAGCGGTATGTATGCAAATCTTAGCGTGGCCAAGGCTGGATAGTCGAAGACCAGGTCCGTGGTTTCGAGAACGCCGTAGACTCGTTTACGGCGCTTCGTAATCTCCGTACGGTTCGCAAAAACGATACAGAGCTCGACTAGATTCGGCGCTGAAGGCAGAGATCCAGAGCTCGATACGAGATGTTCATGTACCACCAGCGAGATTAGACGAGGTGAGGCAAGAATTGGAGCACTGGACCAGCCGCCGTCGAAGCTCGTCCGTAGCTTGACTCTAAGCCCGCTACCATCACCGTGGGTGTCGTGGCCGAACTTGATCGTTGGTAAAGAATAGGCAGGGAGGTAAGCTCGCAGCGGACCTGGCCAGTGGAGCTGGTCGTGTAAGGGAGAAGTGGGCAGAATCGTAGCGACGACGATCACCTCCTCGAGACCGCGGAAGCGTCGTACAACTACATTGGCCTTTTCGAGATACGCCGAGGTGTAAAGTTCAATGGCAATGCGCCGGAGTCGCGGTAGCCTGGCGGGTGTTACGACGTCCGAGACAGCGCCATCGGTGATGAAGGAAGAGGTTCTCAAGCCAAATGTTTCTATCGCAGCCGAGTAAGATATGAGATGGGCGAGTTCGTTCGCAGTGATATCGTGGTCGTCGCATCTAAAGTCGAGCGTACGCAGCATGGACAATGCATTGCACGGTTCCGGGAAGGGCGGAGGACGCAGTCCGTGCAGCCTGCACGTGCGCAGTACGCCAGGGTCGCCATTCAACAGATCCCTAGGCAAGCAAGGTTTGACAGTGACGTCGTCGGCAAGGACAGTTAGGTCGAGGGAGTGCATGTGCGGCGCGGGCCAGGAGAGGGCTCTACTAATGTCAGCCCAGACGTTGCGCCGCTGCCCCAGAACCCGTCCCATGTCGTAGTCGTAGGCGCCGTTCTTGATTACGGTGAGTGTAAGCGACTCGACTAGGTGGAACGTGGCCATGACGAAGGCAGCAAACGCTTCAAATGTACACCCAGCGTCCAGCTCGAGTCTGATGTCCACCAGTCGTGGGTAACTCCACTGCAAGAAACGCGAAGCATTACAGAGCGCGAGCGGTGTTATGACTCTGATTTTGCTCCAAAGGTGCGGCAGCGACTGCGACACCAGACGGAGATCAACGCAAGTTTGCGCTATCGCAATGCGGTCAAGCAGATTGCAGTGCTCCAGAAGCCTGCTCAAAATCGCCCTCGGTACGGAGACCAATGGATTCCGAGGCTGTATTCTCGAGGATGGTAGGCGCTGCGGAATATTTGATATCCGTCTGAGAGCCGTGTTTGCGTTCCTTGTCCCTTGTTCAGCGGGCCAGGTCGTGGCGTAGATTCTAATAGAAAGAACGCACTCGATGCTCTCTGTCCTGGCCGTTCTCAAGATCCTTGCGGCAGATATGCCGAGTTGGAACGCGCGTGTATCGACATCCATGCGGTGCGTTGTGGTGGAAGCAGAGTCAGCAACGCCGTCTCCGGAACCATCCGGCGCAATGTCTTCAACTTGTCAAGCGGCAACAAAGCGACCGTTTGGTTTTCCGTCAACCACTCTCAAGAGGGATCAAGGAGGACGAGAAAGTAAACGAAAGTGCAGAATTTGGCGAGAATGAAGGTAGGTGGGTTGCAGTAAATCGCTGCGGTGATGAATCCAGTGCCTATTCGTTGCAAAGCACAGCGACTGACACACCTCAGTGTCAATTTAATGAGTTGCGCTATATCCCCGTAGCCATCGCTTCACAATGCATATCCCTAGGAAGGAAATCACAGCCCGCGCACTGAGTCAGTATTAAAAAAAGTGTGCGTACTACGACAGTGATATTGGTATAAATACAGTATACCAGCACACATGTAATCATGTTCATCAGAATGTTCTACTCTACCACCGTCATCTCCGTCTGTATGGCGATAAGAGAGGATCATCTCACGAGTCCGGACGCTGAGCTGACGAGAATATGCTTGTCGAATTCTGATCCGCGTCGCGAGAAGATAGGTACCGCAGAAGATGTGGAGGAAGGGAATGCTCGAAGTCGATATCAGTTGCGATACTTTTGATCATATGCAGCGATTGTGCAAGGTCAAAGTCGACGATATCTCTGATCCCGGACAGAATGAGCGTGTCCAGGCGGCGCCCTGGAGGCTGCAGCCGCACTCTATCGCGGACAAAGTCGACAATGTCCGTCAACGCGATGGTATAGTCGGCGTCGCGGATATAACGGTACTCCCAGTCTCCAGACGCTGTAAGCAGCACCGACAAGGACTTGATTTTGGGCAATTGCGCAAATCGTAGGCTGCACAATGCCGGATAGTCGAATACTAGCTCGGTGTTTGCGAGGACGCCGCAGTCCCACCTGTCCGCAGTCTCCGTCCATGACGCGAGAAATATGGAGAGGTCCGTCAGATTCGGCGCACATGGTAGCGGACCGCAGCGGGAGACTTCGTGCTCGTGCAGTACAAGGGACATCAGACGATGAGATGACATAATCGGGCCCCAACCGACGTCGAAGTTCGTCCGCACTTTTGCGCAGAAGCTCTGAAGGTTCGCGTCTCCGAACTCAAACAGAGCGTCGTCGCGCAGGACGAAGGCTCGCATTGGCCCAGGCCAATCGAGCTGGTCTTCGAAAGGCCTATTGTACCCAGCAGAACCGACAATCGCCAGCTCCTGGAGAGTAGGAAATCGACGCGCGAGTGCGCGGGCGCTATCAAATGCCATGAGGGTAGGGAAGTCGACCGCCAATCGCCGAAGTTGCGAATGTAATGCGGACGGCAAGATGTCGGAGTCCGCGTCATGCAAGAACGAAGTAGCCGTCAAACCAAACGTTTCGAGAGCGGGTGAGAGCGAGAGAACTGCGGCGAGTTCACTAGCTGTAAAGCTAGAGAGCTCATGTGTGAAGTCAAGAGTGTGCAGGCCGGACAATGCATTGCACGGTCGCAAGAGAGGCGGGGGACGCAAGCCGTGTAGCATGCACGTGCGCAGTACGCCGGGCTCGCCATTTAACAAGTCACTGCGCAAATGGAAATGACCAATGCTAGGGTCCGCATGGAAGGTCAAAGAGAGGGTGTGCATGTGCGGTGCTGGCCGCGACAAGGCTATGCTGACCCTATCCCATACGCTGTGCTGCCCTCGATCTGGAATTGTGCTCAAATTGCTGGTTACAGCGATCCTGAGCACAAAGGACGAGAGTCGAGGGAAAATGGCGGCCGCGAATGCGTCGAATGCATCGTAAGGAAATGGCGTGTCGAACGAAAGTTGGACATCCACCAGCCGCGGATAGCTCCACTGCAAGAGTCGTGACTTGTTATGAAGGACATAGTCCTCGTTGTGGTCTAGTCTACTCCAGATATGAGGGAGTGACAACGAAGCTAGACGCAGCGTTTGGCACGTTCGTGCCACTGCCACGCGATCGAGCAGGTCGCAATGCTCCAGAAGCCTGCACACAATCGATATAGGCATTGTCAACAATGCGGAAGTACGCCCAATTCTGGAGGGTGGGTATTGCACGACTTTCGATACACGGGCGAGGAGAGCATTCGCGTGTCTGGCGTCTCGTTAGTTCATCGAACCGATTCTACGATAATGAACAAGGCAACGCACGCTGAACTTCCAGCCCCAGCCGTTCTAAGTAGTCTACTAGCGGATGCGCCCAGTGCGTGAGTGTGATTATGGATGTCCATTGGGTTGCGTAGATGGTGGAAGCAGAGAGCGAAAACTTCCGTGCCGCAGCGCGTGGCGGCCTTTGAAGCTTTGAAGCCCCGTTGCGGGTCAATAGTGCCCAAATTTGCCTCCGAAGCAAGCGTTAATGGGGTAGTGGTAACCTTGATCGTTGCCACCGCATAGCTGAATTCGATCAGCCGGGGGTTCGATTCCCCCTTAACGCATTCTGTTTTGACACTGAAAGGTGTAGAGCGCCTTCCTTGCCTTTTTTTGCGAGTACTTGTAAACGTTTGTACTCACGGTTATCCCCCATATTCGAGGCACGAATCAAATTTGCACCGACTTTCGAATTGCTCAGCTTCAGGCTCTATACCCTGTATTCTCCCAAGCATTTACTTCACGACCGCATTCCAGGCGACGATGAGCGATAAATAAGGTCTATGTGGATATAAGGTAGCATGGTCGTACACCTCTTTTTGTGCAACAAACGTCCAAAAGGGATGATAGCATGATCAGGCAGTCGGGAGACGGGGCGCGTTAATGATGATGCCAATCAGGCAGCCCGCCAACGTGCTGACAACCGGGATGGTCAAGATCTAGTTCAGAGTTGTCAGACGTGAGTGAGATCCGGGATCGTCTTTGAGAGGTAGAGACTCACCCAGCCGGAAATGATCCACGCGAGCGAACGCCAGTTGAACGCCTTGATGTCGCCGTTGCACAGCGCGACGCCGAGAGTGGACCCAGTAATGCACATCGTTGTCGAGACGGGGATGCCGTACTGCGACGCGAGGATTACCTACAGCGAGACGAGTCAGTATGGGAGAGCCGAGAGCATGTAACTGGTATCCGCACCGTGATGGCAGCGCCGAGCTCCATGGAAAAGCCACGAGACGGCGAGTGCAGAGTGAGACGGTTGCCGAGAATGGCCATAATGTTGTACCCGTCTAGCATTACGCGGAGAGCCCGCCATCAGTCATTGCACGCGCAATAGAAGGCAGAGAAAGGACCCTCACATGTGGCAAGGCCGATTACAATCATTGCACCACTGAAAGTCTGCTCAGTAAGGAGCGGAAGGAAGCTGCGGCATAGGGCATACCCGAATGCTAGAATCCAAACTGGAACGGGCGTGTTCTTGCCCAACGGCTGTGCGGTAGACCACGCCTCGTAGATGGCAGCGAAAGGACCAATGGCGTTCGAAACTATTATTGTTCAGGGAAATCAATTAGGAATGAGAACAGGACTGCACGCACCGTCGTTTGAGCCGTGCGCAAAGGAGGCGGTGCAGGCGGTCATAACCTGGAGGAACGAGAACCTGCGCGAGATTGAGCCTCCTCTTCGCCTCTGCTCTGTGTTGAGAAGCCCACATGTGCTCCGTCTCGTTGCCATACTGCTTCGCACGCGCGTACATGTCGTTCTGGCGTTCTGCATCCCTCGAGCCCGACTTGCCGGTCTGCAGCGCATGAACGTCGACTAGTACACAAAGCAGCGCAGCACGTTAGTCGGTCCTCGCCTTCCGATGCAGGTGTGCACGTACCGGACGAGCCATGGGTGAAGAGCTTCCAGACGAACGGCCCCGCCTTGTAGCGGAAGATGATGTAGAGGTTCTTCGGCTCAATCCACGCGCCTTCAATGGGGTGCGGGTCGAGGTCCTTCTTCTCGATCTCCTCCGCGAGACGGCTGTGGTGACGAACAGGCGCGGGCGGATGGAATTCAGAGCCTGCCTTCTCTTCGACGCTGCCGCCCTCGCTGTCTGTGTACGTGATATGGATCAGAGTCAAGTAGTGTGGCATGGCAGACGGGAGTACTAACCGGTAGGTCTAGCAGCTGGGGTCTCCTCGTCTTTGTGTACGGGCTGAACATGCTCTTCGCGCACGACACGGTAGTCGGGTACGTGCGCCGCAGCAGTAGCAGTTCCGGCGTCGGCATGAGGCTCGCGGTTCCACAGGAGGGGACCCATGAAGAAGTGGTACCAGCGGATCGCTGGAGTGTGCGGAAGGGCATAAGCTCGACAAAGTCCGCGAAGCGTGCGCTAGGCACATACTGTAGTCCTTCTTGACAACTTTGGCGCGGACGTACGGCATCCAGAAGATGAGGGAAAGAAGGGACACAACGGCCGCAGTACCGACAATCGCGGCTGCGGTGGAGCCGTCGCTGAGCTTGTCGAGGTGCAGAGACGGCGCTCCCTTGTACACTATAGATACCGATTAGCACATCAAGTATGTCGCACTTGTCCAGCGTACCAATGGACATGGTAAGAACCGCGGCAACGACGAAGAAGTAGAACGGAGAGAACACAAGGCCGGTCTTCACCGGGTCCTTGCGCACTGTCGCAAGGTCAGACCAGGCGAACTAATACTAGCACGAAAGAAAACTCACCGAGAATGACGAACTTGGTGATCAGATAGACTGCTGCGCCGAAGCACGCCGCGATGCTAGGAGCAATGAGCAGCCCCGCAAAGATCGTCGCAAGACCCTTTCCGCCGTTCCATCCCCAGATAACTAGTTTCTCGCGTCAGAAAGACGATCAACTAGACGTCAAAGCTGCTTACCAGCATCAGTACCGCCAACTGCTACACCCACACCCGCGATAGCCGAGACAATGGAGTACGTGGTTGACACGGGCCATGCCATGCGGGTCGCGAGAGTCAAGAAGCTTGACGACGCGACGAGAGCGCAAGTGAAGGCGAGCATCTGTAGGCCGGCATCGTCGTGGAAGGTAGAGAGGTTGATGATGTTGTTCTTGATGGTGCCGGAGACGCGAGCGCCAACGAGGACAGCACCACCGAACTCGCAGATAGCTGCAGCAAGGCACGCTTGACGCAGCGTGAGGGAGCGCGAAGAGACAGACGTCGCGAACGAATTGGCAACATCGTTTGCGCCTGTGTAGATAAAGTCATTGAGCCGTACTTGCGAACTAGAGGGTGAGAGCATACCAATCATGAAAGCATCGAGGGCCGCGAAGACTGTGCGGGAGCGATTAGAAATGTCAGGAGTACTGCATAGGATGGAAGGACGTACTGGTGCCAATGGCGAATATGTAGTCAAACTGGTGAAGAGGCATGGTCGTTTCGTGCAGCGGGCACCAAGCCTGGTACGACTGACAGTCTAGAGGTCACACGAGCAGGCGAAATGCAGCAGCTGAGGGGTATAAATACTCAGGCAGACCACCACTGGTGACTGCGATATCGACGCACGTTTGTGGCCAAGACTAGAGCCCTGTTCAAGGGACGCGCTTGGCACATTTCCGAGAGCGATCGCTGTGGTCGGTGTGCGGAAATCCAGGCGCACTTCAACGTCTGTTGACATCCTGAACTGCGCTGCAAGAATTGCTTGTTGGACGAAGACCGAGCCATTGTACAAGAACTTGTGGGCGGACGTCAACACCTGGCCGCGAGGAGCGAACAAAGTCTCGGCGCTCTTGGCGATGCGAGAGTTCGGCGATCCACCATTTTCTCCGTCCAACGTGCGCAGAGACCATGCGAACAGAGAGTAGCGACTGGGCGGGGCCAGATATTCAGTGCGTGCCTGGACGCAAGCGTAGAATACGATCATGCGGCAGTCGAGCCACGTTGGCAGAAGTCGGGCGCGGTCTAGGATTAATGGCATGCATTATAGGAGATTTTTTATGCGGCGAGTGTGCAATGTTGCTCGGCCTTCGGGTGAACTCGGTGCCTGTGATGGGGGGAGGAGGCAGACACGCTATCATACTCCGCTCACCGTTCTTGGACTCAACCATCTGACCTCCGAGTCCTGTGGCATATGACCCGCCCGCGATCTCAACTTCAATGTACTAGCCCTGTTGCATCTGCTGCGTAACCGGTCCTCTGCTCAAGTCCAAGTCCAGAGAGTGACCTCTTCGACGAAGTCAACAGTCAACCGATTGCTTCGAGGAGCCTTCGGAGCTCTGGACATCGCTACTGACGCTGGCAGCAGGAAATCTACCGCTTTCTGCGCTGGCGCATGACCGCAGTAAATGTTACGACTGCGCCGCTCGCTGGCAGCTGCGTCGCAGACGACGGAGGCGGTGCATGACGCTCTCCCACCTACATAGACGTCGGACGCTGCATCCCCTCGCGACTATGTTGCAAGTATTATTCAAGAGCCTTGTTCTCGTCCTGCTTTGTGCGACGGCACGAGCGGCCGTTCAGGTACACGACGCCCAGTCATTTCTCTCAGAGCCCGCACCCGAAGCTCCTTCGGACTTCGACTGGCAGCAGGTATGCAAACAGTCGTGCTTGAGGCAGCTCTAACTCTGTAACAGTTGAAGCCTAGTCGCTCCTTGGATTGGCACGACTGTTACACATCCTTCAAGTGCGCGAGGTTCGAGGTACATGCGCTATATGTATTCGCCATTGTCACCTCAGGCTAAGGGTTGGATGCACAAAGTACCGCTCGACTGGAAATATTCAGAGGGGTACCCGAAAGGAGCTGGTGGTTTAGCCGTCGCCGTCATCAAAGCACCCTCGAGATACGACCAAACTGATCCTCGCTGGCGCGGCCCTATCTTCTACAACCCCGTATGTGTGCTGTCGGTGACACACTCCCGCTGATTCTCTCTTACGTAGGGAGGACCTGGATATAGCGGCGTGGATTGGCTTTTACAAACAGGCCCTAACCTCACGCACCGAATCGGCGATGAGTACGACCACGTCTCCTTCGATCCTCGTGGTTCGTTCGTTACCTTCATTGCACATTAACCCTAGGATCCTGATGGTCAATCCAACAGGCGTGTCGCGGTCACACCCGACTATCAGATACTTTGACGACGAGGAGCGGGCGAAATGGGACGAAGACAGAATACTCGGCCCGAGCGACGTCGGTCTCGCCCTTGCACGCTCTCAGCTCATCGGCGCGTTTGCGGATGATCCGTATTTTCGTGGTCAAGGACACGGCGCCTTCTTCGTATCTACTCCCTCGGTGGCGCTCGACGTCCTCGCCATGGCGCGAGCGTACGGGAGGGAGAAGGTCATGTACTTCGGGAAGGGTTACGGGAGCATCCTTGGTTTAACGTTGAGTCCTTACCCTGTGCAATGAAGAGTAAGAGCTAATGTCGACGCAGGATGGCTTCCATGTTTCCAGACAAGATCGAGCGCATGGTTCTAGATTGTGAGTCGCGTGTCCGAGGATGCCTTTGTGACTTAGCAGTCCCGTGCTACAGCTGTCACGGATGTTAATAGGTATTACGATGCGTCATACTCCACGACTCTCCGCTCTACCGACAAGG